CCTTCCTGATATACTAATTTTAGTGCATCTTCATCACTGTCCTTCAGATATTTTTCCAAAGCTATTTTTTCTTCTTCAACCATCTGATGTACTTGCAGCATTCCACGCCCACCTATTTGCCTTGGTAGATAAAGTCTGTCAATGTCACTACGTGGATGAAGGGCATGATTCATTGTCATTATTTTTCTGGTCTTCCTATTATTATTATTATTATTACATGCAAATCAGTTCTGTCACTGAAAGTTTTTGCTTTCTGATACCAAGTTGTATCAGCAAATAGAGACATGATAACCAGAGGGTTAGGCCAGGTTGAGGATAATTCTAAACAATTTCCAACACATTACATCCTGTAGAATCTCCAGAAGAACAATCCCGTTTTCTTGACTGGATAAGGAGACTGGCACAGATTTAGCCAGACTAATGATAACTCATCCTCAGCAGATGGTAGCACCTAGCTAACCTTGCTACCCTCAGAAAAGCTGAACATTGTCAGACCTGATTAGCAGAGACATCTGTGTATCCCATAGTTTGAATCACACTCATTTCTGTAGTTAATTTTACAGTACTGTGGTAAGCCCAGGTCTGTCCATTAGAACTAGGATGAACAGTCTGTTTCTAGTAATTTTAATTATATATTTACTCACAAGTCCATTCTGATTGGCTTCCACATTTTTTAAAAAAACACATACAAAATATGACAGAAGAATGTTAATCAGTCTCTAAGAGCTTGATTTATTAATTTAAAGATAATAATAGCTATAACAAATTTGATTTTTTCATTTGTGATGAAAATTGAAGCCTAGGCTTGAAATAATCAGGATCGCGTGTCTCTTAAGACTGTCCCTTTAAAATCTTTTTTTTTTCAACCTCAGATGAGAGTGTCACATATGTATAGAACATTACCATATTTAGTTCAACACCAAGGCAGAATAGCAAATTAGGTAGTATAAATCCCACTTCTCAGTCTGCTTTTTTGTGATTCCAGTCTGTCTAATGTTACTGCAGACTTGCTGGTTATACCAGTTTTACACTCTCATTTTTAACTCAACACTGGCAGTTTCTTCAGGGTAAATACCAGAGAGTAGCAGTGTTCACTTTCTTAAATGTGAGCAGTAGATTCTGATGTTACAAGTTGTCGTGGAAAAACCCAATGAAAGAAACAAGAGACAGCAACACAAGACAATAATTCTTACTTTTAAGATTCAGAGGTTTATTTACTAAAAATTTGGAACATAACAAACATCATAACATCACTTACATTAACAAGCCATTGCAATGAGGTCCAGTGACATAGCAGGTCCAGCAAGGACAGCTATAGGCCAATGGCAAATCAATCAGGTCCAGTCCCAACTTTTTATACCCTTTCTCATCCTAAGACCGTAGACAGATGGTCAGCAATCTTACACCTTCTGCTGACTTTCTGCTGACCATAACTTTCCTCATACCCATGTGCATCTGAACTCGCACCCATCATCTACTTTCAGTTCCTCATTTCTCACGGCTCCAATGTCCTTGTTCCAAATATACTTATAAAACTATCTACTTTGCAAAATTATATTACGCAAATTGCAACAGCTCAGCATATTACAAATAGTTCTTTCATATTATGAAACCATCCTAGTTAGAGACTTCAGCTCAAGTCTTCTTTGTGGGGTCTTCTTTAAGCTACTTAGACCTTATCAAGCCCAATGAATTAATGGGCTATATTTTCGTCTTCCACAAAGTGAAATCTAGGAACTTAATAGCAAAAAGCTACAAATCCATTAGCTCTGGTTTTTGATACTGTAGTCAGCAAAATACTATGTCACATTATAGAATTAAGGAACTAATTTAAACTGCTTTGTCACCATACCTTGGCTACTAAAAAGCAGCACTTTGACTGGTCTTTCCCTACTATAGAGCAAAATAGTATTTAAAGCTAGCTTGGTTATTGGTTATCCTAGTATTTTGCTAAATTGAAATGTGCTTTTTTAATTTTCTTACTATTATAGCATATGAATATTATTAAAAATGTGTATTAATATGACTGCTTTCTTGAACACATTGTTAGTGGATAGAGTTTATTTGTTCAAGATGTGGAAAATATAATAGTTGCGATGCAAATCATACACGCTGAGCCTAATCCACTAGAAAGGTGCTTTGAGGATTAGATACAAATTGTAACTCACCTGAAATTCTCTATTGCTGTTTATTTTATTAATTTGGAAATTGAATCACAACAGATTCAGTCTTGCAGGTCACCCAAAACCATCTATTTGCCTATGAATCTTAATGTACTTTGGATCTTAGTCTGTACTTAACCTTGATCAGCTTTCTGTTAGTCCATTTTTAAATTATTACATAATTTATGATCTTGATAAACTGATTGGCTGTGGAAAAGTCCATCTAGTCTAGTACTTTGCTTCCACAGTGGCCAACCAGGTGCTTTCTGGAAAGCAGTAAAGCAACATCCTTTAAAAATAATTTATTATTATAATAGCCATGATATTTTTTTCTGTATAGCAATATACAGCAATATAAATGTCTACTGAAAATCTCAGATGTTAGAGCAGTGTTGAATTAAGATTCCCAATGGCTGAGGGTGGGACTTCATTGTCCAAAGAATTCCTTACTGATAATCAAAGATTCTCAAAGTTAAGAGCTTTATGACAAGCTATTTTTAATTGCATCATAATGATATATGATATCAAGAATGAAGATAAAATTATACTTTATAATTGCATATTTTGAAACAATATTTTGTGATGTATTACAAGTTTTGTGATTTAATCTTTGGTTTGTTCCATTTTGTTTTTAACAATATGGTACTTTTTGGTCTGAGATTCCAAATAATAAAACTTTTTGAACTAATATCACATTTATAGTACAGGCATTGTAATTTAGATTGCTTCTATCAATAGTTTTAATCTTTGTCTCCACAACTTCATTTAACTAATTTTAGTAATTACTAATTCTGGTTTGTGGATTTAAATTGCAAGGAATGCAGAAGCATAAGATGTATATCTCCAGCTATCTAAAAGTTAGGTATATGATCCAGTTGTATTATCTTAAGCAATGAAAAGTATGAGTTGTAAAATGTTTCTCTACTATATTTCAATTACTCAATTAATACATTAATAATAACATATGCCTTGAGATACACAGTTTACTTAACAGTTTATTGTAGTATTAATCAACCTACCTCCCCTTAAATCAGGGGTGTCAAACTGCCGGCCCGTGGGCCAGACGCATCACGTGGAAGCCGCGCCCACCCCATTGCCGGCAATGGCAAAACCGGCCCGATACGTTGCCTGCCTTAAATTGTTGCTTTAAATAAGTGACCACTGAACTATTTTTGTATTTATTGATTAAATGTCTTATTCTACTTTCAATTTTTCTGAACTGAATCCTGGGATATTGAAACCAGGCTTCCAGACAAAACTCTTGGTAGCTGTTGTTTAAGTCATTAGTTACTAACAATTTTGCAGAAGACCCCTATACATTTAGTTACTTCTTTGTGTGTTTTAACAGAATATTCTCCTTTCTGGATGTGGTCACTCTATGCCGCTGCGCTCAGGTCTCCAGGGTAAGAATGTTTTCATACTAGTACTGGTAAGGCTTTCTCTATTGGGTATCTCCAGGTTGTCATCTTGAAACTCAGAAATCAAATCTTTAGTAAGATTATAGACCAGCATATGAAACCCAGGAATGTGTCAGCTTTAAGTAATATTTCAATGTGAGTCCATATTCTCCCACCATTTCTGCAGTTTGTGTTTGTATCAGTACAGTATCAAAAACCTCTACTCATTATGTTACTCTGACATGCAGACTCTCATGTTGTTTAGCTGTGGAAAATGGTGGGCCTGTATTCTCTTCCCCTCTAATTCATGGTCACAGGTCCAGGGTAGCAAGAATTCTGGAGGGCATGGGTAGGGGAGGGCTTGCAAAATGGACTTCATACAGGCAGTCCTCAACTTATAACCAGAATTGGGACTGGACCTTCCATTGGTAAGTGATGTGGTTGTTCAGTGAGTCAAGGGCAGCTTTATGACATGTTTTGCTATGGTTGTTAAGTGAATTGCCATGGTTGTTAAGTGAATCCAGCTTCCTCGATTGACTTTGCTTGTTGGAAGACCCCTGGGTAGGTTGCAAATGGCGATCGTGTGACCCCAGGATGCTGCAACTGTTGTAAATACATATCAGTTGTCAAGCAACCAAATTTTGATCATGTGACATGTGGATGGTGCAACAGTCTTAAGTGTGAGGACCAATTGTAAGTCACTTTTTTTAGCACTGGCATAATTTCAAACAGTCATTAAATGAATGGTTGTGTGAGCTAATACTTTGCTCCAATAATTAAATGCTTGGCTAGGGAAAAAATCATAAGATGCTCAGGCTCATATTTTGCTAGACATCAGGAAATGGAATTTTAAAACTGGAGATCAGTTAGTGAGAACACTTTCCTTGTACGCCTGTGTGGTTCATCTGTTTCATATAAATGCACATGGTATACGTCAGAAGAGATCTTTTTTAATGGTGAATGGAATGGGCCATGAACAGAGTGGCACAGTTATTATAATTTACAATGTGAATTTCGCAATGAGATTTATTAATTCTGGTTTATTCTGTAGCACGTTCTTAGTATGTGTCTATTACAGGTTTCCCAAATTTGCTACATGATACTGATGATACTCAGCTGTACATTTCCACCCCAGGCCACCCCAATGATGCCCTTGACGTGATGGCCCGGTGTCTGGAGGCCGTACGGGTCTGGATGGGGAGAAACAGACTCAGGCTCAACCCTTCCAAGACTGAGTGGCTGTGGTTGCCGGCTCCCAGGTATGGTCAGCTGACTCCATCGCTGACTATAGGGG